TAGTATCACAATCCTGATGCATCCACTACCATTGTGGCTGAATGCTTTTAGACTGACTTAGCAATAAAGGATTGGCAAACATATAAATTAACCTGTTTATAACTCAGTACAAGATAAATGATTACTGATCCTACCCATTTTTAAATATGCCATTGGTATTAATATATTTGACATTCTTATTTTTATTTCACACCAGAGAGGCAAGATCAGGCCACATTTTCCTGAGTTATTGTTTTCTGATCAAGATATTAAGCTTCAATTCTTTGGGACAAATCCTAGCTCAGATTGTCTATGGTTTCTTTCATGCAATGAAGCAGAGTTGAGTAGTTTTGACAGAGTCCAAGTGGCCCATGAATCCTAACCTTTGCTGAACTGTTACTTAAGAATTAAATAATTTTTAGGTGAGCCTGGTAGATGATATTCCAAGAAAGGCATACATAATAATAATAGCTCTTATTTTTGTCACTGTTAATTTTCCTTCAAATTCTACTGTGCAATTAGTAGACTGGCTATATAGTCCCTAACTTATGTTTAGGGCTTCCAGGAATTAGAAATTGCATTTTTTCATCTAGCACAATGAGAGTAGAAATTTCACCGTTCTCTACAATCTTGTCCCCACTTCTTTTTCTCATTGACCAAAATCGATAAGCAGGTGATATCTAGTTTACAGCTGCTAAGACTTCTGAACTGGCTCCTCTACTTTTACGTTTTACTGATTATATTTTCAAATTAAAATTTTAAAAAAGGGTAACGAGAAAGCTCTGATTTATATGCTCTTTTCAGAGGAGTGCTGTCCTCCAGATCTGCATTCGAACCTTCCGAAGCTCCGGCCAAGTTCCCCGTGGACTAGCAATCCTGTCAGACCTGGTTCCTGGAAGACAGTCAAGGTGCACCTGGCCCACGCGTCATGCTCAGTCACCTGAATCTCCTGCAGGCAGCCCAAGTGGAATCAATACAGCAAAGGCGGTTAGCTGGCTGGAAAATCTCATCAGACGTGAAAGACAAGAGACTAAAAATGTAGAGATGTATGGAGATTAACAGTCTTTACAGGGCTCTAATCACAAGAAAAAGCAATTGAAAAGACAGACTAATGGCTACAGTATATAACCCACTCTTAGGCCTGTCATTTAATTGAAGAAAAAAACTGCGATGGCAACAAGTTTGAAGAATTTTGTAGATGGACATTTTTAAATGGTGAGAATTTTTAAACAATACACATACAATGTAAAAATTGTCTTGTTTTCCCTGAGATAGAACCTAACATTTTCAAACAACAGTCTTGGGAGTCAGAGAACAATTTGACTCTTCCAAAGATTATAAAGAGGACGTACATACGGAATAGTCTCATCTTAAGTGAGGGGTTAAAGGTCTTTCTTTCCCCCTTCATGGCTCATGGCCCCCATAGCTGTAATTTTCCTGACTTACTAATGATCATTATAGCCGCATGAAGAAGCAAAAGCTTAGGTGTGGAGAACACTTGCTGAAGTACCAACACAGCCGTCAGTCAGTCTCTGCATTACTGCTATTTTAAGTCTCTTCCCCCATTTCAGTCACTCTACCAGGTGCCATATGGAGGATTATTTCCCAGGTTACAAATAGACTTTATCAGTACCATTTTTTTCTCTTTTTAATTCATATTTTTAACCACTTTACCCCAAATTCCCCAGAGCCAGGTTCTCTGTTTCAGTAATCTATTGCTTTGTAATAAATTATGCAAACGTTAAAACAAAAACCATTTTATTTGCTCATTTTCTATGGCTCGGGCCGTAATTTCGGCAGGGCTCAGGGTGGCTGGCTCCCCTCTGCCCTCTGTTGCCTGTGGCCTCAGCTGGAGAGGCCTGAACAGCTGAGAGGTGGCTGGGCTTCTCTCTCAGGGTACCACCCGGAGTGTCTCACGGTGGGGCCTGAGGATCAAAGATGGCCTCCCTCCCAATGTCTGGGCACTTTGGTTACCAGTGGCCTGTCATCGTTCAGTAATCTAGTCTGACATTTGCAGGGGGGCCAGCTGCCAAGAGTGAAGGCAGGTGCGACAAGGCCTCTAGAGGTCCAGGCCTGGAATTCTCAGAATGTCACTTCTGCATTCTGTAAATCAAAGCCAAGTCACAGGCCAAGCCAGATTCAAGGAGCGCGGAAACGAATGCCACTTCTTGATGGGAAAAGCGGCATTTGTGAATAGGCATAGGAGGCACTATGGGCAGCCACCTTTGGAGACAATGTACCACAGCTTTCAAGGGCTAATCTGATAAACCAAGCGCTGCCCACGAGAGAATCCTAGAAGACTCCTCTAATCTTCAGGAATCTAATCCAAGGACTGATTCTTCATGAGTTTGTACTGCTGAATGAGGGTGGAGGCATTAGGATACAAGTGAAAGTGAAAAGAGCTGGGAAGGTTTTACAACAAAAATCATTCTTAATGTGAGTATTTTATACCTAGTCCACTCTTTTGAACTAAGCTTCATGTGAACTTAAGCCAACTTTTAGCTTTCTTTGTGAAACAATATTTTAAACATCATATTGTTATTTTCTTTCTTTTTTTTTTTAAAGATTTTATTTATATGAGAGAGGGGACAGGAGAAAGAAAGGAGAGAAACATCAACATGTGAGAGACACATCATCGGTTGCCTCCTCCTGGGGACCTGGCCTGCCACCCAGGCGTGTGCCCTGACCTGGTATCAAACCAGTGACCCTTCAGTTCACAGGCCGGTGCTCAACCCACTGAGCCACACCAGCCAGGGCTGTATTGATACTTTCTAGGTTACTTTTAACTTCCCGGACTCTAGAATTAACCAGAATTAACATTCTTTGATGTCTTATCTCACCTGTTAAGGTTATTTTATAAGATGGTACATTTTACTAACACTTTGTAGTATTTAAAATGTGTAAGTGACTAAGGAGAGTCTTGCTTCTTACTGTCTTCAGCAAGGGAATTAGTCACTAGCCCTCTCACTTAAGAATACCTATTGGGATGAGGGGTCAATCCAACAAGAGGACGATTATTTATGTATCAAATATAGGTGGACCTAAATATGTAAACCAAATATTAACAGACCTAAAGGGAACAACAGATAACATTAGGAAATTTTTAATACCATACTTACCTCAATGGATAGATCAAGAAAGAAAAATTAATAAAGAAACATTGGCCTTAAATGACATGTTTAGACCAAATAGAATTAACAGGTATATTCAGAACATTCCATTCCAAAACAATAGAATACACATTTTCCTCAAGTGCCCATGGAAAATTCTCTATGACAGATCACATATTGGGCCACAAAACAAGTCTTAATAAATTTAAGAAGATTTAAAATCATATCAAGCATATTTTCTGACCACAAAGGTATAAAACTAGAAATCAGTTATAAAAGGAAAACTGGAAAATTCACAAATATGTAGACATTAAACTGCTACTGAACAATGGTGTATGAAGAAATCAAAAGATATCAAAAATACCTTGATACAAATGAAAATGGAAATACAACATACAAAACATGGGATGATGTTCTAAGTGGTTCTAAGAGGGAGATTCATAGTGATAAATGCCTACCTCAGGCAACAAAAATCTCAAATAAATAATGAAGACTTGAAAATGAGACCTGAAAACAAAACTCCTAAAAGAAAAATCATCAGTACCTCCTTGACATCAGTCTTGGCAATAATTTTTTTGGACTTGACAACAAAAGTGAAGGTTGCAAGAGCAAAAACAAACATGTGGGACTACACTGAATGAAGAAGCTTCTTCACGGCAAAGGAAACCATCAACAAAATGAAAAGGCAAAACTCCTGAATGGGAGAAAATATTTACAAATCATGTATCTGATAAGGGGTTAAAATCCAAAATATATAAAGGACCCATACAATCCAATAAAAACAAACAGTTAAAAAGTGGGCAGAGGATCAGAAAAGACATTTTTCCAAAGACATACAAATGGCCAACAGGTACACGAAAAGATACTCAACATCAGTAAGCGTCAGGGAAATGCAAACCAAAACCACAGTGAGATATCACTTTATACCTGCTACATTGGCTATTATCAAAAAGACAAGAAGTAACAAGTGTTGGCAAAGATGTGGAGAAAGAGGAACCCTTGAGCATTATTGGTGGACATGTAAATGGTGCAGCCACCATGGAAAACAGTATGGAGATTCCTCAAAAAAATTTAAAACAGACCTACCATATGATCTAGCAATCCCACTTATGGGCATTTATCCAGATAAAATGAAACACAGACTCAAAAAAGACATGTAACCCGTGTTCATTGCAGCGTTATTTACAATAGCCAAGATATGGAAACAACCTAAATGTTCACTGATGGATGAATGGGTAAAAAAATGTGGTATGTACACACACACACACACACACACACACACACACACACACACACACACACGAATCACAGGAATATTATTTAGCCATAAAAAAAGAATAAAATCTTGCCATTTGTAATAACAACATGGATAGATCCGAGGGCACTATGCTAAGTGAAATAAATCAGAGAAAGACAAATACCATTTCACTTAGATGTGGTCTTAAAAAAACCTCTCATAAATATAGAGAACAGATTGGTAGTTGCCAGAGGTGGGGTGGGGGATGGGCAAAATCAATGAATAAGTCAAAAGGTACAAACTTTCACTTATAAAATAAGTCATTCATGGGGATATAATGCTCAGCATGGCAACATAGTAATACTGTGTTGCATATCTGAATGTTGCTAAGAGGGTGGAACTTAAAAGTTCTTATCATAAGGGAAACAGTCCTGTAATTCTGTGTGATGACAGGTATTAACTAGACTTACTGTGGTGATCATATTACAGTATATCTGAATAGCAAATCATTATGTTGTACACCTGACACTAATATAATAATGTATGTCAATTATACCTCAATAAAGTAAAAAAAGAATACCCCTTGGGAGTGATCTCCACAGTTATCCTTCCAGTGGCGCTGCCAAAATGTGCAGCCTTTAACTGCTGTTCCTGTGAAGGTTAACAATGGTGGCGTCTGTTCCTTTTTGCTTTGCTTTTGGGTCTCTTTACAGCTAGTAACTCCACACTAGGCCATGACACTCTCATATCATTTTGTTACCTGATTTGAAGACACTCCATAGTGAATTAAAGAAATGACACACACACAGTTTTGCTAAAGGGGTTCTATATACATATATATAATATTTTATTTTAAAATGTCATTAAGCATGTACATTTCTTTAGCTTTTTCCAGGGAACACTGCACCTAAGTTTCAAAACACACAAAACAGATCCCCATGACTAAACAGTCTTCACTTTTGGGCTACAAAAGTCAAGATTTCACAATCACCAAGCGTAAAGGTACATGGTTCTGAAGTCATTTTCAGACAGATTCCTCTCATTCACTGCACACAGGGTATTTTTGGAAACCCAGACCGTAGTACACATTCCTTACAAACGATCTCCACTGTGGGCCTCCCTGGGTCTCCTGAAGAGGCAAAGAAAATGGAGGCCAAACAGGAGTAAAGGAGTAACCGCAGGGCTCCCAAACTCACGCCACCATGGGGGACTGGAGGAATGGAGGACTCGAGGTTCTCCTTCAAGTACATCACAGTAGAAAACAACAGCACAGACACAGCCTCGTTTGGTCGATGTTGACCTGGTCTCTACATGAATGAAACTTTAAGACACAAAGGAAAAATGAAAGCTATTTACACAGATAACATCATGGAATAGAAAGTGCAGTGCTCCCCAGACTGGCACTCAGGTCTGACAAAGAGCTGCCAGTGGTGCTCACGTAAGAGGCGAATCAGGCTGCTCGTGTAGTGTCCTTTGGAAAATCCCAGCGTACACGCGGTCACCCACATAGAACTACAGTTTCCTCAGCAACGTGGCCTAGGGTACGCAGGTTGCAAAATTCCTCTGCAATTGTAAATCCTCAAAAACCCAACTTCCTAATGTATGCTTTTTACTTTTTTCTTAGGTCTGGTAACTTTTTTGGGTCAGCCTGGTTGTCCTTTGCATAGACGGTTACTCTCACTGCTTTCTCCAAGTGTCCCAGAAGCACTGACTTACTGAAAATAGAATCTCATAAAGGCTTAACAGATTCACTCTGCAAAGAGTGGAGCCGCTGGGTCATTCGAGGAAAGGTTAGGTCCCCAAATTGTGGTGGAGAGAAAGCCACTGACTCTGTGTGGCCTTGTAAATAAAGCTGATTGGCAGATGAGAAAGGAGGTGAGATCTTTTTCTAAACGTTTCCATGCTAGTCCTCTGGTAAACCAAAAAACCCAACCTGCATGGCCAAGATCCAAGGCCAGTCTGGGTCCTGGGACACTCATCCCTGCCCACCAGAATCTATCTACAGCTGAAGGTCTCCCCCAAAGTAAATGAATGATGAGAAGAGTAAGAGGAGAGGGAACACACCTAACTTCACGTAGCCCCATGGAGGTAAGTGGCTAAGGATTAAAAAATTAAGCACCCTAAATTTCCCAAAGCTGAATAATGTGGAGTAGAACTGATACCCCTGCTTTTTTTTGGCTTTGTCCTCTATTAGACAGCTGAGTACTTGGCCTAGCCTGATTTCCAGCTCTCCCTTCTCACCCCAAGAACAGCAGTTATGCAAGTACAACCACCAAAGAACGTCCCGGCTTCCTCTCTGACTGCTGGCACTGCTCTGATTTCAGGTGTTCTGACAACAAAGGCTTGGTTGTTACCTGGGAAAATGCTGCAGTGTGGATGGAGTGAGAGCTTGCTCTCTTTAAGGAAGAGAGTGTCCCCAAATAGTCTAAAGAGCAGTGGCCAGCCCAACGACGAGATTTAGAAGTGAAAGAGTCTTTCATTAAAAGAAGTGGCCACACACCCCAAGACAACCATAAAGTCTTGACTAGGAAACCGAACACTTTTTATTAAACAAGACTTCCTCTGAGGCTATGACGACAGGCAGATTTGGCTATAACTCAGATACACAAGATTTCAGGACCATGAATAAATACTTTCTGCAGAATTTTGAGTGTGTTGCCTTGTGACCTTTCCAGAAATGCTCCAGAGGCCTAGCTGTTATATAGACATAGTAACTACTCCAGGCTGGGACCATATAGGGCCTGAGTGAAACATAAAGCCGAAACTGAGTAAGCTCAATGCACAGAGCAGTATCAGTACTGGGTAGACTTTCTATGAGTATTAACAAATCATTTTTCCCACATTTGATTTATTCACCTCATTTGTAGTTTTCCTCCCATCCCCCAAACAGAATAATGGCTTCAGCTTGCTACTAACATCTTTCCACCCAAGAAGGCTTATGAAAAGAATCCCAAGGTACCTTTCTAACTAAAAACAATAGGACTAAATGCTCAAGACTTTAGGGTAAAACGAGTAAGAGGGTTCCGGAGTTTTTCCTGAGACATTCCTTGATAGGAGGTGTCATGACACCCACATGGTTACACCTGACTGTCACAGCCCGAATAAAACTGGAGAAACTCAAGACAGAGCCCACCTAGAAGCCCAGGAAAGAAAAAGAATGAACGGCAACGGAAACACGGTAAAGAGGTGACTTTCTAAAGCTGGTGGCTCAGAGTACTCCAAGGAAAACTCAGGTTTCCAATTTGTATGTGGTGTTGAGTCAAGACAGGAACAGAAAATGGACTACACTACTGTAGGATGCCTGCGTGTTTTTTTCCATAGCATAGTATTTCTTCCAGAGAAGGGAACTGTTTATCACAACCTTCTCTCCACAGAGAAGGGCAGCTAAGATTCACCGGAGGACAAGGGAAGCTGTGAGACGAAGAGGCCTCACGACGAGGTTGTAGGCCAATTCTTACCAGGCAACATTTTGGCAACACCTGGTGGGTGAATTCCCTCAGTATTTCACCTGCCAGACTGGGCACTGGTTCCACACTGTGGGATGGGAAGGCTCCAGGCCCTTCCTAAGAAAGTATCTGTAGTTCCAGGAACGCAGGTGATTAACTCTCCCAGAGGAAAGGGTCGTGCCTTTGCCTTTGGGGAAGGGATTCACACAAACGTGAGGACTGGGAGTGGCTCTCCAGCGTTTGGGGGGATCACACCGATGACTTTTTCTTTAGTGAACATTTTAATTACAAGAAGTTGTCAAGATGGTCACGATTCTGCAGGAGCTCTCCCAGAAGGCTCGGGAATTGGGTATTGCTTTACAAGGTCCCTCGATTCAGAGGAGTTGTTTTGAGAGAAAGAAGTGATTTCTAAAAATCTACTTGGCAATTCCTCCTGGGAGTGAAGCAGCAGGTAGATGTGTCCACTGCTTTTGGTGATGCTCCGTGAAGAACACCGAAGAGGCAAGTGACAGTGGGAATAGGGGTCTCCGTGGTTGGGTGGCTAGGACACGATTCCGTGGAGAAGGGGCAGCTGTACAGCATGAGAATGACTGGTGAACTCAATTTAAATTCTGTTTTATCCAATTCGGTCTGAGTGAGCCTTGTCCAAAGATGAGGGGGAGAGTAGGCCTGCTGTTCCTTGATAGAATCTGATACTTACACGTTGTTCTGAGTGGGCTTGGGGACAGTCGCAGCCCATGGAACCTGGATCCAGAAATGGAGGAATGGTCCTGAAATGAGGTACGGTGAACTGACTGAACAAGGGGCTTCCTGCCCAGGGGTACCGAACACTTCTTGACAGGTGTCCTCATGGCACAGCAGGGGGTGGGCTGGGAGTTGGAAACAGTCACCCCAGAAATGAAAACCCAGATTCAGAAACAAACAGAAACCTCAAGCCACACAAGGGGTACCCTTGAAGACAACGGAGGAAGTGTTGGTCCAAAGAAATACCCCAAATTTCACAAAAACACTGATTTAGTGAGAAAATCCAACTCAGGAACACATTATTACACAACAAAGACAGCAGTCTGTTAGCCAGGGCACTGCTCCAGACGGCTGCCTGGGTGGTGTGGGCCACGGGATATGGGGACAGACTGGGTTGGACTTTGACACACAAATTCCTCCGCAAGGAGTTGGAAAGTCCCAGGCCCGTTCTATGGAAACAATTAAGATTCAAGGACTTAAAAAACAAAAATCCCTGGCTCGCCCCATCATTACCATGAAAGAATAAAGAGAGACAGACGGAGACACCCACAGACAGCATTCCCTGAAATGAACCTCAGGCTTACTAGACAATGCGCCTTCACACTTTCTGAGGCATGGTCCCCAGCTCTCCAGTGCAGCACTTTGAACCCGTAGAGAAACTGGCAGCTTGACAGGCTGAGGAGTCTTCTGCCAGGTACACCTGAAAGTGGCTGCCCCAGCACCCCAGATAAATAAATACGAAGTGTGAGCACAAAACAGGCGATGGCCACCTAGGAGGCCCATTAAAGGAACCAAAAGAAACAACACTCAGTAGCAGCCTTTATGTTTTGCTTTTGCTGAGTATCCAAACCTGTTACTAAAGAGGAAACGGAAACCTAGGTATCCTCTTGAAGCACAGCCGGAGGCCTTTCAGGAACAAACTCCCCATCTGGGCTGGGAAGAGGCGGCATCACCCGGAACTCTTCCGGGGCACTTCCCAGCCCTGCCCTGCTAAGGGACATCCAGCTTGCTTTCTTCTGATCTTCCGGTCCCCTGAGTCGTCTTCATGAAAGTTTGTTTCCATGTATTAAAGGAATGACATATACAGAAATGTCGTCTCCTGAGCCCAGTCGGTCATTAGATATCCGCCATCCTCTGTCCTTCAGGACACCACGGGCGCGCATCACCAGGTCCTGAGCTGCCAGTGTGTACCTGTGGAGGGAGAGGCAGGAATGAGACCATCAGCGCAGCACCAGGAAAAAGCTGGGTTTGAGTGAGGCTGGAAAGGAGGCATCACTGCAGCTCTCTGAGCAGTTTTCAGATACCCTTAAAGTAAAGCCTAGGTCGTTTTCTGCCCACATGTGGGATGCCTAATGTAAATCAGTGTTTAGATGGAGAGGGACAAGACAGAAAACACATTAAATAACCACCTAGAATAACCATCGCTTAGTTCTCTTTTGAGGTTTTTGATGTCAAGGAGAGTTACAGTTTGGTGCTAGTGTGGGGCTGACACGGATATGCTCAGGCTCAGGGTTTTCCGTGGCAAATAGTGTCTAGCTAAAAAAGTGTATGGGAAAAATAAGAATTTTTATTTTCAGTATGTTTATTTTTAAGAAAAAGGACAGTCATTTTCCATTTATGGTAAATCTCCTTTTAAAATAAATATGTGTTTGCCCTGGCCTGGTGACCTGGCCTGGTTGGTTGGAGTGTTGTCTCATACACCAAAAGGCTGTGAGTTCAATCCGCGGTCAGGGCACATGCTTAGGTTGCGGGTTTGATCCCGAGGCCATCGACTGATGTTCCCCTCTTACAATGTTTCTCTCTCTTCCTTCTCTCTCTCTGAGATCAATACACATATCCTCAGGTGAGGATTTAAATAAGATCAAATGAACAAACTGACCTAACAAGCAAAACAGCCACGCTAGTGGTGGGCGGAGGAGAGGGGGTGGAGAGGTTGAGCAAAAGCGAAAAAGGACTCATGGACACGGACAGCAGTGTGGTGACTGCTGGGGGGAGGGGGGCGTCAGGGGGCTAAATGGCGATGCAGAAAAACACAATAAAGATTAAGTAAAAAATTAATAATCACATTGTTTTTATAAAGTAAGATGATTTAAAGAAAAATATTAATGATATACATGGGACATAGAAACATAGTAAAAATGCAAAGGTTTTATGGGTAAATGACTGATAAACCGTGCCGTGGGTGCGCTGTTCCCCCCACCCTTATCTATACTACACTCTCCTCTTGACCAACGTGAGTACAGTGCCCCCAAAATCTGAAAAGATTGTTCATTGAGAATTAAACTATAAACTTGAGCAAAAGAACAACTATGATAGAAGCTGATGGAAAGTATTAACATCTAGACAAAGAGTAATGTGGGAGGTGATTTGGGTGGGCGTGGGCCTAGGTTAGCCTCGGAGCAGGAAAAAAGTGAGACAAAACATTGGCAGGTGTCTATCAAAATACTGATCAGGGCAGTCTTTGCTGGCAGACTTCAAAGAAATTTAGTCTCCCTGATAGGACTGTGGATGGATTACTCTCTTAGCCCATGCCATTAAACATGATTCACCTTTATTCTGATGTCATGTTTGCCAAATAACCTGTTTATGATCTGCCTCCCTGTGCAGGCCTGCCTACAGGGAAAGAATGAGGTAATCATTTATACTTTAAGAATATGAGTCAGTTATATTTTTCCGTATAGATGTCAACTGGCATTTTGTTTTGCAGATCAATCTTGTAATCTTGGTTGAGGCGAACCCAGCTCTGATAATGAATCTATTCTTTCTCTGTTGATTAAACTAGTTTCTGAATCTGGAAAGCTAAAAGCCAGCTTCTGGTAAATCACCAAGATAATAAATGTCACCCTATAAGGAAGGCCTCTTGGAAGCCAGCCTCTTGGCCTTTAAGAACCGACCATCCTGATAGTACCAGTGGTCTTTCCCTACCTGGAACGCCTTTGCCTCACTTTCAGAACGGTGAGTTACAGAATTTAGAACACCAGAAACTCTCCATTTCTTCTTTTAATACCCTTTGTGAGTTTACCAGTTCTCATGTTAAAAGGGACCTCTATCCAGCCCTGCTGTTGCACTGTTTCACACGAGGGTCTGTAGCGAAGGACCTCAGGATTGTTCGTCTATGAACCGCAAGTCTACTTACACAGCCGGGCAGAGACAGAAGGTGGCAAAGCAGAGGTCATTTTAGTTATTACACAAGAAATGCTTTCTCTTCTGGAGGATAAGTGTTAAGTGGGAAGGACAGACCCTTTTTTCTACCGATACGGAGGGAATTATCAGCTTAGAAGCAGAAATCTCTGTTATACCCGAGGGAGAATACAGCTAGTTAGCCCTCTCTGAGGGTTCTTCTGTGGAGGTCAGGAAATAAACAGAAAGGCCTCCAAAGAGGTCTTTGGCTAAGAGACAGATACATGTCCCTAAATTTAGGTACTGCAGCTCGTTACTGTATTCAAAAGGGTTTCTCAAATGCTCACCCCACGTTCCTCTTAGTTCTATATTAAATTTTATATCTGAGATATGACCACATGGGGAAAGGCTACCACAAATATTAGGGTGATTTTACCATCCTGGTGACTGGCCAAGGTCTGGATCTTAGCCTTTCAAGTTCGGAAACCTGGCTGAGTCAATACACCAAGTAGATTCATCTGTCAGAGCTGAATACACCTTAATCCAGTTGATGGGCAGACTAGACAGAAAAGTATGTCAAATTATGGGAAAGACTGCTGACAATAAAGGAAGGATATCCAAAGATGTCAAAAAACAAAAACAAAAACAAAAAGACTTCAAGATAGCTCCTGTGGCTAGTATTGAGGCAGATAGTCCTACAGGCCTCAACAGGTCTTGCAGTCAAGGGACAATGACTAAGAGATCAAGGTTAAATAATGTCTAACTGGTTTTATTTAAGCCATGAAAGAGTATCATTCATAGTTAAAGGCAATAGACCACCATGATATTCCTGTTGCTGGTGACTTGGGGTATTATAACAATAGTCAGAGTTAGCTTTCGTATTTTTTTATTTATATTTTTTAAGGAATTTTTTTTTTTTTGTTAAGATTTATTTTTTGAGAGAAGGGAGGGAGAACGAGAGAGAAACATCAATGTGTGGCTGTCTCTCACATGTCCCCTACTGGGACCTGGCCTGCAACCCAGGCATGTTCCCTGACTGGGAATCGAACTGAAGACCCTTTGGTTCACAGGCTGGCGCTCAATCCACTGAGCCACACCAGCCAGGGCAGCTTTGGTATTTAAAAGGCAGCATTAGGTCATCTAGAAAAGATGGTTACCCAGGAAACTCATTTCCCCGAGAACTCTAGATAATTAAGGTTTTATTCTTAAAAAATGGCAACTGCCAATTCCAACATAACTTCCCCTGAGCCTTCATTTCTCTTCACCATCCATTGTCTTCCCTTCAGTGCTGAACTTATTGAGAGAGGGGAATCCATTTTGCTCCCTTGATTTCTTACTTCCCATTTTCTTCCTTAACCTCTTACCAGTAGCCCAATACCCAATTAGGTTGTTCTCTTATTTCATCTAAAGGCTACTGCACAGTACTCATTCTGCTCACCCTTTCTCCAGCAGATACTGCTGACCACTTACTTTACTTTAGCCTTGAAGTCTCCTGTCTTTTCTTGAGGCCTCCCCTTCTCTTTGGAGCTTTGATGCTACCATGCACTTCAAGTTCTCTTCCTGTGTCTGGGCTTCCATGATGCATGGCTCAAGTTCTTCTGATTTTCCTAACTCCTACTTTCCTTTTTAGGCCCCAATTAAGACTTAGGAACAAGTCAATAAATGTTAACTTATTCTCACTTCCAAGGAGGGTCTTCCCCATCTATCATCCTTAGTTAATGGTATCCTCAGTCTCTTAGGCAAGAAACCATAGTCATTTTCAATGCTACCTCTTGCCCTGAGAGTTTCCAATGATAAAATCCACAGGGCAGAGTAGGGCTTCTAAACTTTTTATTATTTTAAGTGTATTTCGTTAGTGGTACATGGCTAATTAAAATAAAATTAATCTTACAGAAATTGAGATGTAAATTGTCTGTTCTGCCATCATATACACAGACACACACTTATTTTGTACTTTCTATTTATCATGTTTTCTTTTCCTTCATTCCTGCTTTCTGTTGGGTTCATAACCTTCTTTAATACATTTTTATTCCCTCTACTGGTTTAGAAGTGTTAGTTTACTATTTCTATTCTTTTAGAAGTTATGCTTAAATTTTTAATATAGGAGTTAATATTTATATCCTCCTCCAGAAAATAAAAGAATCTTAGAAGGCCTTCTTTCATTTTCCATGTTACTACTTCCTATTTTAATTTCAATTTGTTTTTAAGCGTACATTTATAACATATAAATAAACCAACATACTAATTTCTTTGCTTTTTTGAAGTTAATTCCTTCATTCTGGATTTGATTTTCTTCTGCTGAAGTATATTTTTAGTAATTCTTTTAACAAGGGCCTGTGAGAGAGCAATTCACCCAGTCTTTGGACCACAAAACTCTTTATTTTTGCCTTTAATCTTGAATGATAGCTTTATTAGGTATAGAATGCTAGATTGACCCTTATTTTCCCTCAGCAGTTTGAGGGTAACAGTCTATTAACTTCTGATTTCTTTTGTTGAGTAGAAGTCTGTCTTGTATAACATCTTCATAAGTAAATGTCTTTTCTCAGTGGTAGCTTATTAAATTGTTGTTTTTGTTTTATTGTTGATAGTATGAAGTTCCACTGAGACATAACAGTAAGGTTTTATTTTTCTTTATCAGTGATGAAGTTAGTTTTACTTCTTCAAACTGAGAAGATATTTGATTCTGGAAAAATCCTCAGCTGTGCCTATTTTACTACTTCCTCCCCTATATTTTTCCCATAAACTCCTATTAGAGCTTCTCTCTGTACATTCTGAATTTCAGCTTCTTTTCTGCTTTCTTTTTTAATTTGTCTGTGATATATTTCAGTTCACCTATTCCTGCTTTAGCAGTTTACTATGCAATCCATTCAGTGAGTTGTTTTATTTCAATGACACTTTTTCCATCATTGTGAATTTCTGTTTTGTTCTTTGCCAAATCCACCTCTTTACCTTCTGATTCTGATGCACATGTTTGAAGTTTCTCTCAACCTGTTCTGTTAGGTTTTCAGGTGAGTGCTCAAGGGAAGTCTCCATTATATCTAATTATTCTTTTTCATGGTGGGTTTGAAGGG